GAGCTTGCGAACGTTCAGCAGGCAAGATATGCAGGCGATTCGAATCATTGGAGAAGCCCAATGAGTAGCCCTGTAAATAAACATAATTCTCCTGGTTACAGTAGAGATTACGAACATAATACACATATACAATCTTCTAATCACGAAAACTACCAGACGCACGATTGTCTTCCGTCCAGGAATATCGGTGCCTTAATAGAAGATCTCAAAACCGTACCGAAACGACTCATTAGAAACGATGGTAATTTTACGGACACTTTTCTGCAATCATTGAATTGTAAGACAGAAGTGAAATTTTCTTTTTTTTTTTTCCACTATATATGTCAAAATAAATTAATTTTTTCATGTATACTAGAATAAATTTATATAAACTCTCACATCTGATGTTATAATTTATTATGGTTGCAGTGAGGAGACAGGAGCTTTAATGCTTCAATGAAATCATATTATTTATTAATTGGTCATAATGGTTATTGGAAATTAAATATATTTTTGCTTTTTTAATTTAGACTATTCTGGATCTAATAGCGATCTCGCGAGTCATACATCATTCGAGGCACAACAACGCATAAATAATGTAACGATTAATCGGAAAGGAAGTTTCAATCTCACTAATCGTCATGATAATTCTTCCGATAAACATTGGCTAGATTCATTAAGACGCGGCGGCGATAGGAAAGGCTCGAATTACGATCAGAGCCGTTTGAAGAACGTCGCGCAATATCAACCACCACCTATAACGACGTCACCTTTCGAACAAGAAGGTATGAAAGCAGCGTTTGAAATGCACTTGGATAAGAGCGATCAAATGCAAAAGGGAAATCGTCTCAAAAATTTATTTGGCACCAAACAGCAGAAGCCTTGTACTTTGGATCTTCCTAAAGACGCCCAAAAAACCATATTAGGCAAGTAATTTCTATTAAATATGAAGATATTTTGAAAACACAACGATTTCTTTTCATGCAAACTGATCTTGAATTTTATTATCATTGCATACAAGCAGGCTCGCCGAGATTACACAGAGCGCTATTTCGGGACAAATGTTCTAATCAATCGCAGCATCGATTGTCCACTCGTTCCGGTAGTCAGAGTCCTGGTGATAGTGGAATCAGTCAATCTCACAGTTCTTTCAGTGGCAATAGTCCTTCCCAGACACTCAGTCAAAGTTTCAGTTCGGTCAGCTCAGTCAGTGACTGGAGTCCAGACATAACAACACCATCTAACATATCAAAAGTATGTATAGTCGAATATTGTTTACTCTTATATTTTGCTATTTTTTATCACTGTTCTAATTCTATCAACTACATATCTTGCCATATTTCTCTCTAATCTCACTTTACTTACTTTCAGTTATTCATAAATTTTCACTATTTTCTTATCCTGTTGTAATTTTCTTTAACTAACACTAAGTCATCATACTTTTTGTGCCTTGCCCTCAAAACTTCTTACTTTATATTTAACTCTATATCTCTTGTATATATGTTTTATCAAATTATCTGTATCAATACATCTACATAATTACAACAATATTATTACAAAGGCCTTCTATTTCGCCAGGACACTCCTGCTATAAAAAATCGATGTATTATAATGTAGAATGTACGATAAAAATGAATGATTTATAAAAGTTGATCAAGTGAAATTATAGACATGTTATATCTTCTTTCTGTCTTTCATTTGTTGTTTCACTGTATGCATATTTGCATGCTCAAATATAAAGTAATAAAATAACAATGCAAGGGGAGAAATTATAAAAGTAGGAAATGTAGAGCAATAAAAACGATTTAACTACGTAAATCACGTTAAATTTTGCATACAAGTTTATATTATTAATTATTAGTGTAATATCCAGTAAAACGATGTAACGATCTTTTTTTTCGCAGTATGGTAGCGGATATTTATCTGGCCACAGGGTTTTTACCAATTCTAGCAGGAGCTCGTTGGCACCTCCAATGTTACCATATATACCACCGCCAACATCTCCACCACCCGATTATCCTGGCTTAGAATATCCGCCGGTATTCGAACCCGGTACTTACTCTCTTTCGGATGCATCATTGCTGCGCAATCGTAATAAAAATAGTCAAGACACAACTCAATAACAAGAAACGAGCCAAATTCATCTCTTTAACAACCAAAGATAAGAATTTCTTTTGATATTCTAATATAGAGATACAGTTCAATTTCACATAGAGGTACAGTTCAATTTATTACATATCGTATACTATAATTAAAGTTAGAATATCATATAATATAATACATATTATAATAACTGAGGTTAGAAAATATTCTCTGCCATTATCAAGTATTTCAAAGTAACCGTCCATTGTCTGGTTCCACAAATGTAACAAGCATATATTCATTCAACAAGCATATAGTTATTAAAATTAAAAATTATAAAGAGTTTATTTTTCTTCAAAGTGTGTCCTAAAGACGAAATATTTTGCAAAGGGCTAAATTGAATGTTGCAACATAGAGAAGACTGAACTAAATATTATCTAACATTGCCTGTTAGATACTGTAAATTACTGATTTTTATCTATTTTGAAGTTGACTCAAAGAACTACTTTGTTATTAGTATTATTATTGTTTGTTGAAAAATTGTAAAATTGAATCGTAAAATAATTTATTGTGATTTCTGAAGCAATTTATAAATTTATTGTATGCAAATTCTATATGTGTATACTCATAATATTTAACGTGCTTACATAATTAACAACTTTTTGTGTACATATGTATTAAGTACTATCATAATAGTAATATCTTTATTAATATTTAGTAACTTTCACTTATCATTTTATCATATTTAAAAGATTAACAATATAAAAGTATAGCGCATAATAATCACTTACTTACCATGGAAAGATATTTATTCATATTTTTTCAATATTTTTTCATAAATAATCTTTTATAATTGATAAAGGATTTATTTGTGTTAGGTTATTATAAATAAAATTCACATCTAGTTTTAAAAAATTTATATTATTTTCTTTTTTTATAAAGATTGAGTTGAAAATTTGATATAGAATTTTATTGGTATAAAAGAGCAGGATATATAGAATCTATTTCTCATTACATGTTATAATCTTATACAAAAACAGATGTTTCGGCCGTTTAATACGCAATACAACAATATATTTATAAGCATTAATAATATTGTATTTTTTTTTTTACCAATATTAATGTAAAAGAATGTATATATAATAATGGGGATTTGTATTTTTTTTATATGTAGTTAGTTTATTTTTTTAACTACTAATTTAACATGTTTTTCGCTTTTTTAACAATTTACAATAAAAATCATATATCTTGTATATACCTATAGTTATATTACAAATGAGAGAAAGATTTCTCTCTTTTAATGAGTATGAAATAGAATATGAAATGTGTACTGGGTTGCACTGGGTATAAAGTGTTAGTGAAGCTAGCAGCAATCTTATTTAAATAATTTTATATTACTTCCCATAGTACAGAGAAAAAATATATAAGTTATTGAGATATATTATGATTTAACCTAATATTATTTAAAAATTTCATGATGAATACTTTTTAATGCTGCAACTTTTTACTCACAATATATAGAAATTAAAATGTTTTTTAAATCATTTTGTACCATTATTTTTTTCACATATTAGCAATACATTACATATAGATATATGGATATTATATTTTCGACCTATTACACAATTCTTATAAATAATTAAAAAGAAACATCTTTTTTAAAAAAATATTTCTTGTATAGACATTTTTGGAAGGAAATATTATTATGTAACGCTTAATTTTAAATGTATTAATATATATTATAAAAAGACACAGATGTGGGTTAAAGTGCCTGAGTATTTTTTTATATAGCAAAGTTTACATTGCTTTTCTATATCTTTCTATGGAATGTTATCTAACATATTATTATTGTATCAATTATAGTTTATGCTCAATATAAATCTCCCTCTGAAGAAAGTATTACAAAAATAAAAATGCTAAATTTAAAAAAATATAATAGAATATGGAAGAGAAAGAAAAGAGTCTTATTAAATATTTACTCGATTTTGTTCTCTCATATTAATTTACATGTATATTTTATTACTTACAATTAGAAGTAAGCGTTGCATAAACCATTTCATTTTTTTTATGACAAAAATATGAATATTTGCACTAATAACTATAGATATAATGTAAAAAAAAAATATAACAAAATGCAATAAGCTCTCTCCTCTCTCTTTTTCTTTCTATATATATATAAAATAGTGTGTGTATTTGACATTAAATAAATTATAACGATATTTGTTAAAGTGAATCATAATATCCTCTTTCCTCTTTTTTTTAGTTTTGTATACTATGAGCGGTATTTATAATTAGTAATGTTTTAGTGAATAAGAATGATTTATATCCATGTATGCATAAATATATAAATAAAATTAAGAAAAACATGTTTGTAAATACCGCCTTATATCTATGGTTCGCATCTTGAACACAAAAGCATGCGCTCTGATTTTTACGTATGCGTGCGCAGTCCATTCTTATATCCGATGGTTCACGCTTATTGTGCACAGCTGATTTGATGAAATAAAGCAAATAAACGCAGGTTGTTTCTGCGATTGAATAAATATTTTAATAGACTATATTTTACGTCTTCTTTTATTTATAGTGTAGAGAGAAGACATTTTTTTATACCACTCATTAAAAATCAGGCTGATGATGTACTTAAACGCTGTGTACGTTAATCATGGTCATGCAGACATGGTTTTCACGTTACACTTGTAATTCTATTTACGTATGTTCTTTTTTTATCTACGGTATCTTGCGAGAAGTATATCTGGAAAAATATTTTACAAATTGGATTATTCCGTATTCAATTTTCGATAATATCCAAATTTTCGATTTATGATGTAAGTATTTTATCAAGTGAAGATATTCTTTTGCATAGCCTCAAAATATCCAATTAATATTTTCCGAAAAGATCATTATATATTTTCGTGTGCCTGTCTTTTTGACAATTACTATTTTATAGAAAAATATAGTTTTTTACGTTAGCGTTTTAATTTTATTTCTTTACTATATATTTTATTTTTCCATAATATATATTTAGTTTTGTCATTTACAGGTATTTGACAGTATAATGAAAACTTTTATATATCCACTTAAAGAACTTTTATTTCTGGAATAAATTGCCAAGAAAGTTCCAGTGCAATATAATGAATAATCTCGCTGGACAGTTTCGCAAGACAACATGGGATCCAATTCTTATAATTTCCCAGATAATTGCTGTGCAGACTGTCATGTATTTCTGTCTCGGATTCTGCATTTGGATTGTTGCATCGATACTGGGTTCAACAAAATCACTGGATTATGTCTTTCAGTACAAGGAGATACATGTTCGTGACTTTGGAGGACAATTAATTATTGTTACATTTATTTTAAACGCACTGGTGGGTGCATTTGCGTTATGGTGGTTAGTGCAAAGAACGAAATTGTGCATGGATTTTGCATGTACGGCCCATTGTATTCATTTGATCTGTTGCTGGGTGTATAATGGAACTTATCCAACGTCCTTCAGTTGGTGGTGTTTAAATCTTGTATCGTTAAGTATAATGTGCGTCTGTGGAGAATTTCTTTGTATGAGAACAGAATTGCAAGCAATACCCTTAAGTATGAACAGTCAGAAAACAGCTTTATGAGATATAAATAAAATTTGTGAGGTAAAAAATAAAGCATAAATAAAATCTTTTCAGTAAATATATATATTTTTTATATCATGGCAGTTAAAACTTTTGTTAGAGGATTTTTATTGTCGAAAACGTTATTTAATTTCTAATGTATTTAAAAACTGCTTCTCACAAATAAGTATAACCTTTCAAAAGTTAACTTTCTGATAAGTTTATATATTTTTTACTAATTATTTATATTTATATACAA